GAAAAGATGTGAAAGTCCCACCGATTTTGCTATGTGCGTGCCTGACTAGATCAGAAGGAAGGCAGAGAAAGAAACAGACCTGAAGAAAATGATAAGAGGAAAAGATCGGAAGCAAGTGTGTGGCCACACACAGAGTGTGCTAGGCCTGCATGTACTCACCACTTCAGGACGGCTCTCAGCAATGTTGTTGTACTCGCACGGGTCAGTCGGGATGTGGAACAAACATGGCGACTTGCGGGGGTCACAGTTGGTGCTGGCGTTTGCCGGTTTCACACCACACTCGATGCGCACGGGCGTGCCCCGGACCCAGTCCCTGTTCGTGCTGGACACCTGGCCCAAAGATTTCTCCGGGTTGAACACCAAATCCGCACCAGTCTTTCCACCAGACGAGTGCAAATCTTCAAGTCTCGCCCAAATCTCCGGCCCCCAATACTCGCGATATTTCTGCTCCAGCTCTCGTCTGCGACTATCTTGTGTGACGCGTTCCGTGAGATCGTCTGTGAAGTTCAAGTAGTTGAGAGTGATCTCATCACCAGCTAGTTGATAAGGAGGGTACCAGCCGCCCCAATCCACACCTACATCGCCGATCAACAGCTTGTAGCCACCCACACGCACACCGGCAAAGTCTTCGATAGGGTCGATGTTGTGAAGCATCTCGGTTCGAACCCCGCTGGAATTTCGACTCAGCATGTCCCAGGCGTTGAAGCCGTCCAGGTTGTGTAGAGTGGAGGGGTCACCCCCGGCCGCCGCGTACAGTGTGGGTAGCCAGTCACAGACGTGGAGCATCTGTTCGGAGACATAGCCCTGTGTGTGCAGGAGTGGGCTGTGTAGGAGACCCACACCCCGCACCCCGCCCTCCCACAGCGTGGCCTTCACACCTCTGGGGAGGCACAGAATATATATCTCATTGATCATTTGACAGAGACCATGGGGGTACAGAATAGTATGTCATTGATCATTTGACAGAGTCAGTGGAGGTACAGAATATTATCTCACTGATTGTGTGACAGAGGCAGTGGGGGTACAGAATAGTATGTCACTGATTGTGTGACAGAGTCAGTGGAGGTACAGAATAGTATGGTCGCTGTAAATAAAGCACGAGGGGACTATCCCAAAAAAGCTATTTTGAGAAAATAGAAGGTAAAGTTTTTGCCACTTGTTTAGTTTCTTTAAATTACAAGGAGAGTTTTCTCTATAATCAGACAAACACACCAATGAACCCAAACTTGTATAGGTAAGGCATTGCGCGCTTTTGGTGTAGGTCAAGATTTTTGAAAAGCATCGAAATCTGGGTTAGCCCGCATGTCCTTAAAAGAGACCGTATGTCATTGATTGTTTGACACAGATAGGGGTGTGTTTATGGAGAGCAATGTGAATGCAACGTGTGTAGATAGTATGCGTGTGAGTGTGTGTGTGTGTGGGGGGCAGGAAACAACAGAAAGACAGATAAAGTGGCAGACAGAAACCAAGACAGATAGGGATCGAAACAGATAACAACAGATTGATGGAAACGATTAAAGGAACGAAAGGAACGATTATCTGGAAAGGAAAGACGTCGCCATAAATAATCAAACAGCCACTGGAACAATTAGTATGGATACCTTGTGGGCTTTGGTGCTGAGAGGAACTGAGCACTTATGGACCTGTCCGGTGTGCAATGACGTTGTTGCCCAGGACAGGTAAAAGACAGGTGAAGATAAAAAGGCGGAAACGATGACAGAGAGCAACAAAGATAGGCACTTAGGACTGGGGGTTGGGGGATGAGTTTTGGATGGAGTGGAAAGACGTGGGTTGCGGGGATAGAGGGTGGGTTGATGGGAGGCGCGGGGGGGGGGGGGGGGAGGCGAGAAAAGAAGAGGGTGGGTGGAGAGAAGGAGAGGTGAGAGTGTTGGGAGGGGGGGAAGGAGAAGGGGGTGAGAAGAAGAGTGCGTAGGAGTTGGGAGCGAAAGGAGGGAAAAGGAGGGGAGGGGAAGAGAAGAGGAGGGAAAAAGAATTAGGGGTGAAGACTATCAGGATTAGAGACAGAGACAAACAGAAAAAAAATAGAGACAGAGTAGGACAGAGTTAGAGACAGACATTGTGCTACGTAATGTCACATCGAGTGAACAATTTGAATCCTATCCTTACCATCTTTAACCCTGTCTATCGCCCTTAAATTTTCACACACCCCCCCCTTCTCTTCTTTGTAGGTTACTCTCTCGTAGCATTTGAAATTTCCGGTGTGGGTTGTTGGCGGGTGCTCTGGTGTGGTCTGCTCCTTTCCTCCTATCAAACATCTATCGTCCTTATCTCTCCTCCTTTTTTGTGTATATTACTCTCTTGTAACACATCTATTCTTCGGCACTTATATCATATGACCTTATTGTGTTGCAAGAGCCGTAAAACTCCTACTAAAACTAAACCAAACTGGGCGGTTCCCTCACCAGTGTACATTCTACGGTCGTGATTCTCGATATACTACACAGACAGACGAGGACACAGACAGACAACTACACAGACAAACAACTAAACACACAGACAACTGTTACTACACAGACAAACAACTACACACATAGACAGCTACACACAAACAATAACAGAGAGACAACTACACACACAGAAAAAAAGACAACTACACAGACAGACAACTACACAGACAGACAGACGGCAACAATAGAGTGGTTCCCTCACCAGCGTACATCCTGCGGTCGTGGTTCTCGATATACTCAAACCTCTTCACATACTTGTCCGGCGCCTGGAGGTGGGGCCCGTCTGCGTTTGCCCTGTGCACTGCTTGGAACGGCAGGTACAGGAACAGCGGCTGGGCAGGGAAATAATATACTGCATATTTTATAATAATACAAAAATAATTATAAATACTTCAGTGCATTTATTCATTTGTTATATGCAGCGCTCGAAGATAATTGTTGGGCAGTAATATATTATTTAAGCTCTATACACCACCAGCACACGCTCATTAGTAACCAAAAAAAAGTTAATAGACCTATCTATAGAATTTCAAAAGAAAAGAAAACTATAAAATAAAAAAGGCATCACAAACTGGTTTGAAGTAAGACCAGGAGTACAACAAGGACGTGTTTTATCTCCCCTCCTTTTCATAATCTGTATTCACAAAATAAAGCAAGACACAAACCACCGCCCTGAAAGAAAGCCGAGATTAGCTATTATTTGAAGATCAATGTCTTATTCATCCTAACCAACAGAGCCTCAAAAGCCACATTCAACAACAGCTGCTGTGAGAAATTTGACAAGAACATAAACACATCAAAACAGAGATCTTGAAAGTCACCCGAAATCATAATCCACTGAAACAGTCATGTGAACAACAAATAACTGAAACAGGTCAAGAATTTAAAATATATTAGCAGCATTTTAAAACAACAACTGAAAACGGACCCGAAGATAGAAAATAATACGAACTCAAAAAGTCAGCACTGTCACCTATCAGCTGGCACCTATTCTATCTAATTCCAAATAATAATAATAATATCATTAATATCATTATAATATGTCTATGGATACAAAGAGACAGATTACCAATTCAATTTTAAAGACAAAAGTGAAGGAAAATAAAGTTTACGTTTGTGGATGGTTGGCAGGTGCTCTGTTGCGGTTTTCTTCCTCTTTTTTCTTTCCCATGGAACATAATTTATCGTCCTGATTTCTCCTCCTTTAAAAAAAAAAAATGTTTTTTTTTAACTCTCTTGTAACACTTCTTATCTTCGTCACGTATATGATGACGTTACTGTGTTGCAAGTGCTGTAAAACTCTTACTAAAGAAACCAAAATTTACGATTAAAGCATGGTGCTGTTAATTGGTCGCTTTTAAGCACAAGGAGACTATCCCGAAACATGCTGTTTTGGGTAAACCGAAAGTAAAGGTTTTGGACCCTTTTTCAGTTTCTTTAAAAGACAAGGAGAGTTTTCTCTATAACCAAACAAACACACACACACACACACA